GCGGTGCATTTCCCTCCCCGGCCGCCGCTGCGGCTCTTCACCTCTGGCATTGCTGCCACCGCGACCTTTTTGCAGTGCATTTCCCTCCCCGGCCGCCGCTGCGGCTCTTCTCCTCTGGGCTTGCTGCCACCGCGACCTTTTTGCAGTGCATTTCCCTCCCCGGCCGCCGCTGCGGCTCTTCTCCTCTGGGCTTGCTGCCACCGCGACCTTTTTGCGGTGCATTTCCCTCCCCGGCCGCCGCTGCGGCTCTTCACCTCTGGCATTGCTGCCACCGCGACCTTTTTGCGGTGCATTTCCCTCCCCTGCCGCCGCTGCGGCTCTTCTCCTCTGGCATTGCTGCCACCGCGGCTTTTTCCTTTCCTCTCATCGCTACCGCAAATTGCTGTTCTTGCGGTGCATTTCCCTCCCCTGCCGCCGCTGCGGCTCTTCATCTCTGGCATTGCTGCCACCGCGGCTTTTTCCTCTCATCACCCTTCTGCTTTCAAACCTACCATGCACAAAAGAAAGATGAAAAGGGAGACATCCTTGCTCAAACCATTGTCGTCGCTGGGTTTTGTGGATGGTAGCTAGCGTTATCTAACCAGCCAGCAGCTGCAGCCAGTTATATTGCCTAAATGGGCTACGCTATGCAGCTATCAGCCAGCAGCCAACAACCAGCATCAGCGAGTGTGCGCGTGTCACGGCTGTTGCCGCGCGTGTACAGTCTGTCGTGTTTTCGTTTGTGGTGCCCACAGCCCTGGTTGTGCACAATTGATTTTCATTTGTTTGGGGACTACCTAATTAAGGGGAGGCTACACCTTATTAAATAATAGATGAATAAATAAAGCTGAACCATGATATCTATTTCCGCTTTATTTATTTACTTATTTATTTACTCTGTTTTAAATATCTTATTATAGATTAGTAATGCGCCTCAGCCTAATGAGCTAAGGCGTGCATTAGGGTGCCGGGGTTGTAGAGGTTATGGGTTTTCCCAGGCCTTTGCACCTCCTGTCACCGTATTTTTACTTTTTTCATTATGTAGTCAGCAGCAGCAGCAGCAGCAGCAGCAGCCGGCAGATCAGCAAGCAGCTGCAGCAGTGGCCATGGCCCGGGCCCTTTATCGCCAGGGTTTGCGGCAGCTTCCCTGGTGCCAGGACCCGAATGCAGGGTCGACTGGCTGCCGGGACTCGGGGCGTACGAGTCGTCCGGCCTGCCGGCACCCGCACGCAGGGGCCGGCCGTACTTTTATAACGCCCGTCTCAGGTGGGTGGATGGGTGGGTGGGCGACGTGGGTGTGGGTGTGGTGCGTACTTCGTGATTTGGGTTCAACTAGTGGTCGGGAAAAAG